GGCCCCCTGGCCGCCCCCCCCCCACGTAGGCCTCCTGTGCACACCCGTTCTCCTGACTTCACAGTGAAGAAACTCAGGGCACGCTTTAGAGCCAACAAACTGCTCCAAGAGTGCAAGGGCCCCTCAGGACACGTGTTCCCCCCCTGCCCCCAGAGGGGGCAGCACCTGAGGCCCCTCCGCCGTAAACAGGGCTCCATCTGTGCTGCGCCCAAGGCCTGTCCCTGGCCTTCAAGACCCGCCAACACTGCTCTGCCTGGGAGGTGGCGGACCTAAGTGTAAACCCGAGCAATTACTTATAAAACACGAGCAGACAAGGGAATCCTGGGACCAGATGGTTGCGTGTGGGAGAAGCGCCACCCCCCCGCCCCGCCTTTGGTTTCTCATCACCTAAGGCTTTGCCTTTCAAGTACTGAGCCAATCAAGACATTTCTAAAGATAATCCGTTTTTGATAAATTAGAACACAGTGGGAACAGTGTGTGTCTATAATATACATACAAAAGTCCAGTTTTAAACTGTGAGCAAGACAGGTGCACAGTCCACGTGCAATCACAGAAACCCTGGAAACAGGAGGGCGAGTGGCCCGGAGTCTTCTGCTTCGGCTGCTCCAGCCAGAAGGGCCCCGGGCAGGCCTCAGCCCTCGGCACCCTGGGCAGGTGGCTCCTCACCGGCCTCGGCCCGCCGGTGTCTGCGCATGTGCCGGTACTTGTCCACGTAGGCCTTCACCAGGTTGCCCACCTTCACGGGGTTGATCTCCCCACTCTTGCTGTGGCAGATCTGGGGGAGGGGGACACAGTTACCGGGATGTCCCTGCAAACCTGCGTGGTCAGGGATCATGGGGGTGGAGCCCTGGGGACCACGCCGTGAGGGACAGCAGGCAGCCTGACGTGCGCCTGCCTGCTCTGCCCCCCTCAAGGGCTGCTGAGGGTCCCACTGAGCTCAGCTGGCATGTCCATCTCAGGGTCGCACTTCCTACCCGTGAGCTGTGGGTTCAACGTCTCGTGTCATTTAGCCTCTTTGGCTAAAGTCACGAGGACACAGCCCTAAGCCCCTCACAAGCACCAGCATCTTATACCCCCGAAGCATCAACGAGGCGTGGCTATAACCGGCCTGAAGCTGCGGCCAGCATGTGGCCGGGCGACCTTGGGGCCGGAGCCCCGCGCTCTGGGCTCAGGGACCCCACGCCCACCTTCTGCACGGCCTTGCGCAGGATGTCCTTGTACTCGTCCTTCGTCACCTCCCTCCTCTGGTAGAAGGGCTTGATGGCCAGCTTCACCTCCTCCACGGCCCGCTCCTGCACGTGCAGCTTCTTCATGTACTGGGGGGAGGACACCAGTGAGGCCCCCGCCCACCGCCCGCCCGCCCGCCCGCCCGCGCCAGTCCCTGGAGGAAGGAGGGGCGGGACTCACCTCCTCGTTCCTGGTCTTCTCCGAGGCTGGCCTGGGAGCAGCTGTACTCTCCTCGGAGCTGTTGGCCGTGGCGGTGGTCACGGTGGCAGCATGACCAGCCGGCTCTGAGGCTGCAGTCAGGACGGTGGGCACCGGGGCGGGGCTCTGGGCCACCCCGCAGCCCATCAGGGGCAGGCTCCCCTGCAAGAGGAACTGGACCGCGGGCTGGCTGACAGGTGCGTATGGCGGGACCCTCGAAGGCAGAGCCGGGGTGGGGGGCAGGTTCGGGCTCTGTACCTGGGCGAGAGCACAGCCCGCTCAGCCTCCGCAGAGCTCGGTGCCCCAGTGCCCAAGGCAATGCGCTCCCAACCCCCACTCCCGAACCACTAAAAGCCCCGGCAGAAAGGGGCTGGTGCATGAGGCCCTCAGCCCCAACCTGGCCCAGCTCGAGGGGCCTGAGCCCAAGGCCACATCCCTGCAGCCCAGGCGCCCACATCCCTGCAGCCCAGGCGCCCACCTGAGAAGGGTCAGCATCAGGAAAGCCAGGCTCTGGAAGCACATAAGTAGGGAGAGGGGGCTCAGAGAAGGGAGCCTGCTGGAACGCAGCCACGGGGCCCGCGTCCTCGGTCTCCCGGGGCTTCTGCAGCCTGTGGAGCGGCGTCCCTGAGGGCCAACACAGGGGGGTGGGTGCTCTGTGGCCACGCCAGAAGGCTGTTTCCTGGCTGGAAAATTCCAGAAAAGCATCCCAGCAGCAAGGACCACAGGTCAGGCCGTGGCCATCTCCCTGCGTGACCGAGGAGGCCCGTGAGCCATCCAGGGATAAGACTCCGTGGTGGTCGCTCTGAGCCATCCTTGTATCCTGCCCTGTTACCCCGCCCCGCCCCGCCCGAGCGCCTACTCACGCAGGCCTCTGTCCTCAGCCGGAGCACCGCTCTCCACCTCCTGGAGGTCCCAGGTGACTCTCTTCACCAGCGCCTTAGCCCGCAGCAGGGGGTTCTGAGAGGGACCCTCCTCCTTCCCCGCAGGCGCCCCACCCATGGCTTGGCCTCCCAGAGCGCAGGGAGCTGTGGCTGCCTCGGCCGCGTCCTGCTGGAGCAAGTGCTCCTCTCGAGGGCCCTCCATCCTGGGCAGGGGCTGCGCCGCATCTTCACCATGGATCCGAGACACCTCCCTGCGGATGATGGCCACGGCCAGGCCAGCGTCGTGCTGCTGGCCAGCCGGGGGCCCAGTGGGCTTGGGCAGGAGGCCTCGCTCTGGGGAGGAGTCCGTGCTCTCCGGGGAGGGCGGGGAGCTCATGTCATCAAGCTGCATGAAGATGGCTTCGTTTGAAAAGTCCTCGAAGAGGTGCCCCGCCTCCACAGAGTCACCGTAATCCAGATCCTCGGGGGGGTACTCGGCTGGCACCTCCTGGACTGGGGGGACCTTTGTGGGGGGCTTGTCAGCCTCAGGCCCCTCCAGCAAGGCATCTGTTTCTGCCAAGGCCAGGGGCTCCCTGTCCGGCCTGGGCTCCCCCTGGGGAAGGGGTGCCGGAGAGGCCTCTTTCGGGGCCAACTTCCTCTCTGGGGAGCGGGGACGGGGCCGTGGGCGTTTCTCACGGGACCGAGGCCGCCGATGCTCCCGGGGCCTGTGCTCCGGGCTGGGTGACCTGGACCTACGCCGCCTCCTCTCCCAGGAGCCTCGCCTGTCTCGGAGCCACGCGGCGCTCTCCCTGTCGGGCCGCTCCCTCCTCTCCCGGGGGTGCCTGGGCCTCCGGGCTCTCTCCGGGCTGCTGGGGGGTGAGCACTCCCTCCCCCGAGACCGGGACCCCGACCTCCACCTCTTCTTCCTCCTGCCCTCGCGATGCTCGTGGGAGGAGCTGCCGGGGCTGCCGGAGCGGGACCTCCGCCGGCCTCGGCCCCAGGAGCCCCTCCTCCTCTCCCTGCTCTTGTCCTTGGCCTTCCTCCGCTTGGTGCGCTCGCGGCTGCTGGAGCGGTCGCTGGAAGACCTCCGATCCCGGGCCTTGGGCCGGTGCCTCTTGGCCTGGTCCTCACCTGCCGGTGGCGACGCAGACCGCGAGCTCCTGTCCCCCGAGCGCGATGAGCGGGACCCTGAGCGGGCCCTCCGGGGCTCCCTGGTGGCGACCCTCGGCCTCTGGGCTTTCTTCCCACTGCGGGAGCTGGACCTGGAGCGGGAACGGGTGGGGGACCGCAGCTCCACGACCCTATGGGTGGTCACGGGCAGGGCATCTGGACTGGGTGGGGCGTCCGGCTCCAACGCAGTCACACAAGTCACTGTCCGCCCCTCTGGGCCAAAGAAGGAGCTGCGGGGTGGTGGGTCCTCGTCCCCCCAGGGCTCCGGCGGGGACAGCCTCTGTGCCTGTGCCACGGGCTCCTCCTCGCCCTGGAGCTCGGGCAGGCCGCAGGGCCCCTGGGGGGGCTCAGGCTCCTTCCCCATGCCGGTCTGCACCGTGTAGGAGGTGACGCAGCGCACGGGCGGCAGCACGGGGGCCTTGGGGCTGTCAATGGAGATGGTGCGCGTGATCTCAGAGGGCAGGAGGCCAGAGCCCGGGTGCTCGGGGCTGCTGCTGGCCGAGCTGGAGTCAGAGCCCGTGGGGTTGAAGGGGTCATAGATCTCGCTCCTGAGCTGCTTTGTCTTCCTGACGGAGAAGAGGGGCACGGGGCTCTCTCTTCTCTGCACCTTGCTGTCCACGGGCCGGAACGTGTTGCAGAAGCCGGGGCTGAGGGCTCTGCCGGAATGGGCTGTGTTCCCAGGAATGTTGATTCTGAAGCTCTCAAAGGTGGAGCCAACACCCTTCCCCCGGGAGGGGCCCAGCGGGGCAGGGGGCTGGGGGCCGCCCCCTGAGCGTGTGCTGGGCTCCTGAGCACCCCTGCTGCTGGGCTCACCCTCCGCCCTGGTGCCACAGCCAGGCTGCCCGGGGCCCTCCCTGCCCGTCAACCGGCTGATGCAGGAGCTGGGAATCTCGACTGTGTGCCCGCCGGCAGGGACCTCGCCCACCCGCCTGTCGTCTCTCCTGATCTTTGGTATCCTGGGGAGCTCGGAGATGTCCGTCCTCCTGGGAGCTGGTCTCGGGGCCTGTCCCAGCACCATGCTCTCGGAAGGCGAGTTAGAGCTACCATTCGAGGTCTTCAATGCCACAGACCTAAGAGGCGGAGGGTGCTTGCTGTCGCCGTTAAATCGGGGGCCGTCACTCTGTTTTAAGCTGGGTCTGCTCACGCTGGACAAGGTCTGAGACTGGCCTGACTGAGGGGTCACCAAGGAGTCCAGTCTCACAGCTGCCCCCAACGTGAGCGCAGGGACATGGGCGGGGGTGGGTGGGGCCGGGGATGTGCCCAGGGTAGCCCTGCCTGGACAGCTGGACCCCAAGCTCTCTGGCCCGCTTCCTGGCTGAGTCCCTCTGGGCTGTGGGCAGGCCCCAGACCCGGCGCCTTCTGCCCCTCTGGATG